TGCTGTCAGTGAGGAGCCTGATATGGGGCTCAGTCCCACGAACCAGGAGATCATGATCTGAGTTGAAACCAAGAGTTGGATGCTTGACCGACAGAGCCACCCAGGTGCCCCTATTTTCAGTTTGAACGAAGGCTTCTAGAACTCAGCAGTTAACCCCACACCCGTATACACACCCATGAAGGCACCTGGAGTCCTGTGCCACAGCCATCACTGTCCTGTCTGGGCTCCGTGGGATTCAGCATGGACCACCCATGTGCGTCGGCATGGTTGTTTTTTGGGGGTCCTCTGGTTGGATGCTGGGTGGTTGCCACATTTTCTTGGTAATCAACCATGCTGAGAAGTATCCTTGAGCATGTCTCCCCCGTGGACACACGTAGCTATTTATCCAAGGTGGTAGGAGGCAGTAGCACTGCTACAGTGTAACTGGTCTGCCCAGGGTTTTCATGAATGAATCATTTGGCCCTTACAAACTCCCGGGGGAGTTCACTGTGACTCCATTTTACAGGTGAGGAAACGAGGCAAAGGGAAGTAATTGACCAAAGTCACACAGCTAGTCAGTAGAATTTGTATTCTACTAATTCGTAGTAAGTGGGTATGCTCATTTTTCAGAAAGTAATTTATATTTTAATCAAGGTAATATACGTACCTAGTTTTAAAAAGGCAAAAAAAAAAAAAAAAAAAAAAAAAAAAAAAAAAAAAAAAAAGGCAGATGATACCGACAGACTTATAACGACAGAAAGCTGTTCCCTGCCCCTGTTTTCCCCGGCTTCTTTTGAACAGAGAGAGGGATGTGTCAGGCTTGTATTCTCGGACGACCAAATGGGTGTTTATGCACTGGGGGCCTGGAGGCTGGCATCTGAGGGCCGGGTGTGCTGGGAGCAGGGTGGAGGAAGCAGAGAAGGTTGGGGGTCTCCTGCGCCAGGATAGCAAGGGCCAGATGGGACCCCTTGAGCCGCTCCCCGCCCCCCAGACACGGAGCAGAGGAAACTGGTGCAGCCGGGCCAGGCTTGTGGTGAGACCACTGTTGCTCCTTTGCTTCCTAGAGAATCTTGATGCTGGCCCAGAGCAGACACTGAGCTGGACTACGGGAGCCTCGGTGAGTGGGGGCTGGGCCCCACCTGGGGAAGGCAATGGGGTTAGACGCACTTTCTACTGACCACGGGGCGGGATGTGGGGGGGTGACCTTGAGGCCCCGGTCTGGCTGAGCCCAGTGTGCACACATCTGCGCAGACCCAAGTGTCCTGCCCGTGGGGGCCACTGCCAGCACACATACCCCCCACCCCCACCCCCCGCCCCAGTTCTCTGAGATCAAGCTTTCCTTGGGAGGGTGGGCTCTTCAGTGAGACTGGCAGGGGGCTGGGTTCTGAACACTAAGGCTGGGAATTTGGGCTTGGGGGAGGAGTGCCCGTCCAGACATTTTCTGGGCCAACAACAGGCCGGAGTTTGTGCAACTTTTTGGAAGTGCACCTCTGGACCCTAGCCAGGAAGGAGGCCGTCTGATGCCCTTGAGGAAATCCCCGGCAGCCCCGGTGAGCCAGGGGTCCTGGGGCTCTCTGCAAAACAGGAAGCGCCCATTCCAGGAACACTAGCCACAGGAAGCTTTGCTGGCTGTGCCTGGCGCCTCCTCAACAGTGGCCTGAGCTCCCTGGTCGGGTGGGTCACCCTTTGCTCCGGGACCTGGCCTGGCAGGTCACCTGAGGCTTTGTTTGGCCAGGAAGTGGAGGGGAGCTGCGGCCTCTGGAGTGTGACCCAAGTCCCTCCTACCACCCCAGGTGACCTGGGCTTGGTATGGGTGGGGGGTAAGTTTGCAGCCCTGGGATTTAAGCCTCACTTTGCCCACCACCCAGAGGGGTCCTGGGGCAGGGAGCCTGGGTCTGGCCCAGCTCTCCTTGGTGACTCACAGTGCTACTGAGCAGGTACGGTGTCCCAGACCTGGCAGGGCCCTGGGGCAGAGGGCAGGGCTGGGCTCCTGCCCTAATGAACTAGTCAAATGGATGTGAACCGGAGAGAGACCGGAGCATTCTTTTTGTGCACTGTGACCCCTCTGCCTCTTGGGTCCCCCCAAGGCTGTGAGTTAGCAGGGCTGAGGGAGGGGCTGGGGTTTGAGTCAAGCTTTTTTACAACAGGGGTGCCCCAGAGCTCCCCCACTTGGTCAGCTAAGTGTTCAAGCCCTGGTCCAGACCAGTAGAGGGGCCCTGGGCTCCTTGGGTCCACGTGGGGCGATCCATCCGGACTGCTGCCAGGGTGGCCTGGGCTCCGGGCCCGCCCCCACGCCCCACCCCCGCCCGCCCGCAGTCCCTCCCTGGGCCCCGGGAACATTCCATTCATTCCGGGCTCCGGCAGGCCAGGCGGCGGGTGGGAGCCAAGCGGGGCCAGGGGGCTGGGGTCGCAGCGGCGGCGGCTCCGGGACTCCGGGACTCCGGGTGAGCGGGGAGCCAGGTGGGGGAGGGCCAGCCTGGCAATGAGACTGAGGGGCTAGGAAGTCTGCACTCGCCCTCACCCTCGCCCTGGCCCTGGCCCTCACCCTGGCCCGCGCCCTAGCCGGCGCCACTGAGTGGACTTTGAGCCCAGACTGGGCCATAAGCGTGGGGGCGGGGGAGGGGCGAGGGGGCGGGTCCTCCAGCTCAGGCCCTTTCCTTCCCGGGGAGGGAGGGAGGGAGGGAGGGACCAGCGGCAGTGACCATGCCAGCTGGTGCCCAAGCGTTCAGGGCCTCTTGGTGCGCCTGGGTCTGTGTGGTCTCAGAGTCCGGGGCATCTCCCAAACCCTGATCTCCTCTCCCCACAGATGGGCAGCTGAGACCAGAGAGGAGTCTGTGATGGGGGGGACCCCCTGCCATTCAGTGGGATGACCTCAGGGGCTTGTGACATCCTAACTGACTAAAGTCTCCCCAATCTAGCTACCCTTATCAGGGGTCACCCTGGCTCTTCTACAGCCCTGCCCTGGACCACCTTCACCTCTCCCTGGTACTACCCAGCCTTCTGCCCCCAGCAACCAGGGGCCGGTTCCTAAGTCCCTGCAGTCTCCCCCTGTGGACCCCCTCCAGCTCACCTGTGGGTGTTTTCTCTTCCGGTGGCTGGTGAGGAGGGCATCTGGGGTCGCCAGGGGCCAGGCGAGAACTTCCCTTGCCAGTACTAGGTGGGGGTTCTCAGAGGCAGTGACTGCCCCAGAGAGGTGGTGTTTTCCCAAGCCTTGCAGTGATTCTGAGGGAGAGACGGTTTTGTCAGTCGGTTGCTTCTTGGTTTTACTTCCTCAAGACGTTTGAGGAAGGCTGCGGTTACTCAGAACAGAGGGTTGCAGGGGGGATGGAGAGCAGCCACAGCCTGGTCAGGGTTTTCCTAGTGGCCCAAGCAGAGAAGGAAGTTAGCTTGATGGAAGAATCACGGGTTCCATGCGAAAAAGCCAACTTATTCTAGTAAGCACAGCTTTGCGCAAAGTCAGTGCTCCAGAGCCATGTCTCCCCTGGCCAAGGACCAGAGCAGATCCCTTTCTGCCTTCTTGGAAGAGATGGACAGGACACAGGGCAAGTCAGGGTGTTGGAAAAGTCATTGTTTCTCAGAGGAGTACCAGCATATCCAGGTGTGTGTTGTGTAAGAGCAGCCACCTTTGCCTGTGCAGGGGTAGACTGGGCCCCTCATGCAGGGGTAGGCGGTACGGTGTCTGGGACACCAGACAGCAGGAGTAGGCTGTATGGGCGTCTGGGAGACGGGGGGCCTGGGCCCCTCATTGCCTTCCGCCATCTGGGTCTGGCTCCACTCAACGCATGTGGCATGGGCAGGACTGCTCTAAATGTCATGCCAGGCACAGGTGCCCTCAGGGAAGGTTCCAGTGGATTCGAGGCCAAGGGCTCCAGCATGCATCCAGAGAGGGCAGTTTGTGAGGGAGCCGGCAGAGGGTGGTACAGGGGATTCGGACCAGGGTAGAGCAGGGTCTCCAGGGTGGGGCATATGGGACTCTCCCAACATGGAAGAGGCCTAGAGGCAGAGGGGCTTGAGTTTCCCCGAGATCCCTGTGTCCCTGAGGTGGGGAGGGAGAACCATGTGCGTTCTAGGTCCCCTAATCTGGGGACACTTCTACACGTGGACGGGGGCACAGGCCTGTGTACGTGCAGGAACGTGCTCAGAGACACCTGCGCACCGACTCGGCCTGCCCTGGCCGTGAGGGCAGCACACACCCCACTGCCACCTCCGAGTGTCCCCACCTCGGAGAGCTGGTGGTGTCTGGAAACTCGTCCCAGGGTCTCTGAGTGTGTCTGTCCCCGGGAGGGCATGGGCAGGGTGGGTGGAGTGTGGCTGGTGCCTCTGCTGGTTCTGGAGAGGAGGTGGGTGGGGAGGCCGGGGTGGGCAAATGCGGATAAGCGTGTGCCAGGCTGGCTCATTTGGAAGACCGTGCGACTCGGTCTGTGTGTATTTGAGCCTCACGCTGGGTGTAGAGATGACTGAAAAAACAATAAACTTAAAAAAAAGTGTGTGCCTTCATTGATCACAGCTGGTTCCAGCTCCTTTTCTCCTTATTTGCTGTCAGATGCCCGTGTGCAGCACTTGGCAGGGCTCGTGGCCTGGAGCTCTGGGGTCCTCGGGTTGGGGGAGGGCACGTGCGTGAGGGCCTGAGAGACTTCCTGGAGGGGGTGCTTTGAGAACCTGGAGGTGGAGGTCGGGGCACAGTCGTGCAGGGGCTGCCTCACCCTGCCCGTAGCACACAGTGCTGGTGGCTAGACCCTCCTTGTTAGTTTGTGTTATAGGGGACACTCTTGAGACTGTCCGGGAGACCGTCTCCTTTGAGAGGAGGCGGGCGGGCGTGCCTGCCCAGACACACGGAAGGCAGAGAAGCGACCGGGCGCTCTCGGGGTATGCTACACAGCCCTGACTCTCTCTGGCCTGTGTTCCGCTTATTCGGGCGGGGTCTGGAGGGGCCCGTGAAGCGGGGGCTTCCTGTGCGCAGGTGGATCCTCCGGGCTGGGGCTCCCCTGACCCTTGTCTCTTCCCACAGGGTGCCGGGGGCGATGTCTCTGCAGCTCTGGGCCCTGGCCCTCCTGGGCCTTGTGGGCACAAGTGCGGGCCTGCGGCCCCGGAAGCTGGACTTCTTCCGAAGCGAGACGGAGCTGAACCACCTGGTTGTGGACGAGGCCTCGGGCGTGGTGTACGTGGGGGCGGTGAACGCGCTCTACCAGCTGAGTGCCAGACTCCAGCTGGAGCAGCAGGCGGCCACAGGCCCGGCCCTGGACAACAAGAAGTGTACGCCCCCCATCGAGGCGAGCCAGTGCCACGAGGCCGTGCTGACCGACAACGTCAACCAGCTGCTGCTGCTCGACCCTCCCGGGAAGCGCCTCATCGAGTGCGGCAGCCTCTTCAAGGGCATCTGCGCCCTGCGTGCTCTGAGCAACATCTCTGTGCGTCTCTTCTACGAGGATGGTAGCGGCGAGAAGTCCTTCGTGGCCAGCAACGACGAGAGCGTGGCCACGGTGGGGCTGGTGAGTGCCACGAGCCCCGGTGGCGAGAGGGTCCTGTTCGTGGGCAAGGGCAACGGGCCCCATGACAACGGCATCATCGTGAGCACCCGCCTGCTGGACCGGACCGAGGGCAGGGAGGCCTTCGAGGCCTACACGGACCACGCCACCTACAAGGCCGGCTACCTGTCCACCAACACGCAGCAGTTCGTGGCCGCCTTCGAGGACGGCCTCTACGTTTTCTTCGTCTTCAACCAGCAGGACAAGCACCCGCCCCGCAACCGCACGCTGCTGGCGCGCATGTGCAAGCAAGACCCCTTCTACTACTCCTACCTGGAGACAGACCTGCGGTGCCTTGACCCCGCCGACCCCCAGGCCCCGGCCTTCGGCACCTGCTTGGCGGCCTCCGTGGGTGTGCCGAGCGCCGGCAGAGTGCTGTACGCGGTCTTCAGCAGGGACGGCCGGAGCGGCGGGGGACCCCGTGCGGGCCTCTGCCTGTTCCCCCTGGACGAGGTGCACGCCAAGATGGAGGCCAGCCGCAACGCCTGCTACACGGGCACCCGGGAGGCGGGCCGTGACACCTTCTACAAGCCCTTCCACGGCGAGATCCAGTGTGGAGGCCACGGGCTGGTATGTGGGGCTTGTCGGTGTGTTCGTGTCCCGCCAGCTCGTGAGGGTGCGAGGCGTCGCTCTGGTCGGGTGCCGCCTTTTTCTTCCACGTGTCTGATCACTCGCTCCGTCCCCTGCCAGGCCCGTGCTGGGTGTCAGGGGCGTGAGGCAGTGACACGTCCCTGCTGGCATGGCGCTTGTTCCTGGGGGGGGGGGGGGG